CAACCAGAACCCCAATCCCGGTGTCCCTGGCAACCAGAACTCCGATCGCGGTTTCCCTGGCAACCAGCACCCCCAGCCTGTGTTTTCTGGGGGGGCGATGGAGGAGACTTGGGGGGGGGGGGGAGGTGGTGGGTGATGTAGGTCTCGCTCTCACCATCCACACCGCCCTCAATACCCCACACTGACTCCAGGTCAATGTCCCCCATCACACTCTCTCACTCTTACCCCGACTCCTGTCTCTTCGCTCGGAGCCCCCGCCGGTGCCGGTGCCGGTGCCGGCTCCGCTTGACGCCATCTTCTGACCCTGGGGCTGACAGCAGCGCCTGGATTCACCCGATCCTCTCCCGGCCAATCAGAACCCGCCAATCGCAGCGGACACCGCCCCTCTGCCGGTCCTCACCAATCGCATTCGGCTACCGCACTGCCAATCACCAAACGACCCGCCCTCTCCATTTGGGGCCAGTCGGAGTCAGGCTACTGCCCTGTCAATCACCGATCTGCCCGCCTTCTCCAGTTAGGACCAATGGGTGCAAGATCGCGCCCCTGTCAATCACAGACCGACACGCCCACTCCAACCAGGACCAATCGGAGCTACTCTTCATCAATGTCAATCATTACATTGACCCACCTACCCGTTCCGGGCCTGTCCGAGCCGGCGCTGCCTCTGTCAGTCACCCACAGATCCCGCCCCTTCATGCTCTCGGCCATTCAGAGCCCGCTCTATCACCGGTCAGTCACAAACTGACACGCCCTCACCAATCTAGGCCACTGAGGCCCGTCCATTCGCTATCAATCACCCATTAGGCCCCCCTACTCCCGTAAAGGCCAATCATAATCCGCCACTGTCACGTGATCACGCAGCGCCCCGCCCTACGCCGATGTTGGCCAATCGGAGGCAGCTCTGTCATGCCAATCATCATCCCGACCGGCCAATCGCAGTCCAGATCGCCCAGACGCCGTCCGCCCCCCAAACCCCTGTCAATCTCCACGGTCCGCCGACGTTTGAACCAATCGGCAGGCTCTCCCTCCCTGCCAATCACCCGTATTGTCCCCGCCCACTCACGTCTCGGCCAATCATAGCGGAGAGGCTGGGTGGATTGGGAAATGCAAGGGTCATGGGGATGCTGTTTGGAGGGCTAGTGTGGCCTCGATGGGCTGAATGGCCTGCTTCCATACCGTAGGGATTCTATAAGAGAGGAGGGAGAGTGGTGTTTCTGATTAGTGAAAATATCAATGCTGATATTGCTAGGGGATTGTCCAATGAAGCTATCCCGGTGAAACTGAGACATAAGAACACTTTGGTGGCAAACGAAGAGCAAATATGCAGTGAGATCGCAGATAGGTGTAAAAATAATAATAGTCGATAAATATCTGGAATTAAGAATCTAATGATGACCATGAACCCATTGTCGATTGTCAGGAAAAACCCATCTGGTTCACTAATGTCCTTTGGGGAAGGAAACTGCCTTCCTTACCTGGTCTCGCCTACACGTGACTCCAGACCCACACCAATGTGGTTGACTCTTAACTGCCCTCTGGGGCAATTAGGGATGGGGCAATAAATGCTGACCTAGCCAGTGATGTCCTCATCCCGTAAAAAAAATGGGGTTTTTTTAACTTTCCAAACGTAGACTGGAACCTTCACAGTGGCTTGGATGGGGAGGAATTTGTTCAAGTGTGTTCAAGAAAATTTTCTCCATCAATACGTTGATAGCCACACCGGAGATGGGGCAATACTTGACCTCCTTTTGGGATATAAGGCAGGGCAAGTGACTGAGTTATTAGTGGAGGAACACTTTAGGGCCTGTGACCATAATTCTATAATTTTTAAAACAGCTATGGAAAAGGATGGGCCTGGTCAAGGCCAGTCTTGCTGGTACTAGACAGGAACTTTCAAAAGTCGATTGAGAGAAGCTGTTCGCAGGTAGAGGGACATCTGGCAAGTGGGAGGCTTTCAAAAGCGAGATAAGTGGAGTTCAGCATGTTAGTGTGAAGGGCAAGGCTGGCGAGAGCAGGAACACCGGATGATAAGAGATATTGAGGCTCTGGTCAAGAAAAAGAAGGAGGCATATGTCAGGTTTAGACAGCTGGAAGATGTGAACCTTTTGAGGAGTATAGAGTTGTACAAGTGCACGTAAGAGGGAAACCAGGTGGCAAAAAGGGGACATGAGATAGCTTTGGCAGATTGGGTTAAGAAGAATCCAAAGAGATTCTGCAAATACATTAAGGACAAAAGAGTAACTAGAGAGAGAATAGGGCACCTTAGAGATCAATGAGGCTGTCTATGTCTGGAAACACTGGAGATGGATGGGATCCTAAACAAATATTTCCCGTCTGTATTCACTGTGGAGGGAACATGGGGAGATAAAATAGTGCTGGCTTGAAAAGAGTCCACATTACAGAAATAGAGGTGCTGGAGGTCTTAAAATGCATAAAGGTAGATAAATCCACGGGACCTGATAAAGTGTATCCCAGGAATTTGTTGGAAGCTTGGGAAGAAATTGTGAGGTCCCTAGCAGAGACATTTATATCATTGACAGCCATGGGTGGGGTGCCAGAAGTCTGGATGGTGGCTACTGTAGTGCCATTATTTAAGAAAGTCTGCAAGGAAAAAACAGGAAACTATAGACCGGTGAGCCTGGCATCAGTGATGGGTAAGCTGTAGGAGGGGATACTGAGAGACAAGATCTACATGCCTTTGGAAAGGTGAGGACTGATCAGGGGTAGTCAGCATGGCTTTGTGCGTGGGAAATTGTGTCTCACTAACCTGATTGAGTTTTTTGAAGAGGTGAGCAGAAGGATAGATGAAGACAGAGCAGTAGATGTTCTCTACATGGACTTTAGCAAGGTCTTAGATAAGATTTGGCATGGTAGACTGGTTAGTAAAGTTCGATCACATGGGATCTTGGGAGAGCTAGCCAGTTGGATACAAAATTGGCCTGATGGTAAGAGACAGAAGGTGGGGATAGAGGGTTGTTGCTCAGACTGGAGACCTGTGACCAAGAGTGGTCCGCAAGGTTTGGTGCTGGATCCACTGTTGTTCGTCATTTACGTAAACAATTTGGACGAGAATATAGGAGGCATGATTAGTAAGTTTGCAGACGGCAACCAAAATTGGTGGTATAGTGGACAGCAAGAAGGTTATCTGAGAGTACAACAGGATCTTTATCACCAGGGCCAGCGGGCTGAGGAATAGCAGATGGATTTTACTTCAGATAAATGCAAGGTTTTGCACTTTGATAAGACAAACCAGGGCAGGACTTACACAGTTAATGGTAGGGCTCTGGGGAGTGTTGTCAAACAGAGAGACCTAGGGGCACAGGAACATAGTTCCTTGAGAGTGGAGTCACAGGTAGATAGGGTGTTGAAGAAGGTGTTTGGCACATTTGGTTTCATCGGTCAGAGCACTGAGTACGGGAGTTGGGACGTTAGGGTAGGGTTGTACAGGATATTGATAAGGCCACATTTGGAGTTCTGCTTACAGCTGTGGTCACTCTGCTATAGGACGGATGTTATTAAACTGGAAAGGGTGGAGAAAAGATTTACAAGGATGTTACCAAGAGTGGAGAGGCTGTATAAACTGGATAGTGCAGAAGGCTGGGGCTGACGTAATAGAGGTTTATAAAATATTAAGGCGCATGATAGGGTGAATCGTCAAGGTCTTTTCCCCAGGGTAGGAGAGTCCAAAACTAGAGAGCAGAGGTTAAAGGTGAGAGGGGAAAGATTTAAAAGGGACCCGAGGGGCAACTTTGTCACGCAGAGGACGGTGCGTGTATGGAACGAGCTGCCAGAGGAGGTGGTAGATGCAGGTACAATTACAACATTTAAAAGACATTTGGACAGGTACATGGAGAGGAAAAGTTTAGAGGGATATGGGCCAAATGCAGGCAAGTGGGACTGGTTCAGTTTAGGAAACCTGGTCAGCATGGACAAGTTGGGCCGAAGGGTCTGTTTCCATGTTGTATGACTCTATGAGATCAAGGTGAGAGTGGTGCAAGCCTGGGAATCAGGGCAGAGCTTTGAATGTAGGACCAGGACAGGACCACTAGCCCCAGCAGCAAACATATTATTTTCTTTGTGTCAGGACAATTCACAAGAATGCCAATTCGAAAAGCGCGACACAGTGTA